AAAATTGAAAGTTATCTAGTGAAATAAATCAACCAAAGTTTGTAGGAATTTAGTTATCTAGCTAATTATCTAAACTAATTACCTAATATGCAAGTAATTAAAATGCTAGTGAAGTGAGTGAAATGAACTTCCCTTTTTACAATAATGGAACCCTAGAGATTAGTTGATTTTGGACTCATTATCTTTCTCATGATTAGGCTAAGTTTAGCTTCCCTTTCCTCTTGACTAAAGCTGTCATGACTTAAGAAAATTATCCTAAGCCAATTAACCTAATTAGCTAACCTCCTAGGTCTTAGATTAAAGTCCCTAGTTAATTAACCAATTGGTGAAGACATTAGCCAAGTGATTCACTCAAAATCCTCTCTCAACAGCCATGGTCAAACACATAAATTGAGCAACCACAAGATTATGTCAAGCTACTCAACAACACAAGCATTAACACCACAAGATTATGCAATATTAACACAAGAAATTCACTAATTGAAAAAACACAGATTATGTGCCAAACAAAGAGTGGCAAAATTCAGTCATGGCTGTCCAAGGAAGAAATTAAATGAAACAATCCTCTCTCTTTACATCAACATCAAATTCAAATTAGAATTTATAAGCTAAGATGATTAAACCCTAGATTAAGGAATCTAACCATCTAGTAAAAAGAGAAGAGGATAGGAAACAAAAGAACTTAGCCAATTTGAAGCTCAAGACTCATCCTCCATCTTCATCTCTCTAGGATTCCACAAAGAAACTTAGCCAATCTTCATCTTCAAGAACCCTAGTGATTGCTTGTGAAGGCCAAACTCCATAGCTCTTGAATGATGGAAATGAGCTTCAATCCTTGTGAAAATGGAAGGGATGGAACGAAAATGAAGAGAGGAGAAGAATGGTATGAGTTTTGTGGAGGTTTGGTGGCTGAAAATGGAGGTTAGGGTGCTGGAAAATGAAGAACAAAGAGAGAAATGAAGAACACTATGAACAAGAGAGAGAGAATGTGGAAGATGAATGAGATATGTGTTGGATCCCATTTGGACTTAAAATGGCGTGCTCCTTGGTGTCTCCCATCAGCTGAAGCTTAATTAAAATAAGGAAAAAGAAATTAAAATGTAAATGGGAGCCTTGTCACACTTGCAAGGTGGCAACTTCCTATTGGTTTGTAGATGATTCAATGTGTGCCTAATTTCCCATGTGTCATCCACATCATTTTAGCTGATCTAATCCCTCAAAATAATCATAATTCACGTGCAAACCATCAGCCATTGTCCTCAAGGAGTGTTGACCTCAATTGCCCAATTGATGCACAAGTCACATGCCACCTATGTCACATAAATCACATAATTCAATTAAATAGCATATGATATAATAAAATCTAATTCATGTCCAGAATTAAATTCATAATTAGAAGGGAGAATTTATTAAATTAACCAGTTTTAGGCTGCCACAAAATTATATAAAAATTTTCACACAAAGGCAAACCAAAAACTAGGACAAACTAAGACACTTAAGAAAGTGTTGACTTTTTTATTTAATTACTCCCAAACTAAAATGAATTTTTAAAATATAATTTCACCATTCATCAACTGGACATAAAATGCACTTTGTCAATTTTTCTTGTACATTTTCTCAAAAGTTCATTTTTGGACCAAAATGCCCCTAGTGCACTGATTTAGAAACTTAGGCAAAGTTCCAAATCTAATGCAATGTGTGCACTTGAAGGTGATAAATCATTAATAAAATGGTCCTAATTGACAAATAAAAGTGGGTAACAAATGTGTTCTATCAATTCCCCCACACTTAGCTTTTGCACTCCGGGCAAAATCAAGTGAAAAAGGTCCCAAAAGAAACTATAAGACAAAGAAATAAGAGAAAAACATTGTTTCAAGTCACTAAAATACTAGCTCATGAACTTCTACAAATTATCAATCAATGTGGCAATAATTACGAAAGAATTATGCACATCACAACAAACCCTTACCAAGAATCAATGTCAAAGAGTAAGCCTCTCTAGGTTAAGTGTTTGCTCTCATCACTCAAAGTGTATAAGGTATTAAATTTCACTCAAATTTCTTAGGATAAACCCTACTATGAATTTGTAACCCTTCTACTCTCCATCACTAAATAGCACTTGCAATCAAGAATCAAATGGACTTTATTAGGTTGTGATATAGGTAATGAAAGGATGTCTAAGAAATGCATGTATATAAAAAAAAATAGGGTTAGCATCAAAATAATGCTAAATCAAGATATATCCCCTTAATATGCAAAGCATAACCTGACAACACCTTAACACAATGAGGATGGAAAGAAATGATAAGAAATAATAAACAAATGGAATGGATGAGCTAGGCAACTTTTATTTTTATTTTTTTTTTTTTTTTCTTTCTTTTCTTTTTTTTCTTTCTTTTTCTTTTTTTTTCTTTTTCTAGCAACTTTATTTCTTTTCTTTTTGACTATATTTTTTTTTTCAAATCTATCTTTGTTGTTTTTTTTTGGTTGCCCCTAACTCTTTGAAAACAATGGAAGTAATGGATAGAGAAATGATAATAGGCATCCACTCATTTGATCTAGGACATGCAATGAATATTAAAAAGACATATAAAAGTGTAACATGCATTCCTTGGGGAAAAATAGGGTGAATATTTTTTTTTTTAAGAATCAAACCAAAGGCTCAAAGTGGCTAACAAAGGATAATAAATAATAATAGGTTGGCTATTTGGCTCTTGGCTATTTTTTATGAATGCCATCTCTCATCTCCTATCAAACAAGTGCAAGATATATGGTCTTAATTAAGAAGTGAAACAAATTCTAGAGGGTAACATCACTAAGGAATTAATCACACATGAGTGTTTAGCCTCTTCCATGAATGGGTAATATGCCACTCTAATCCATTAATTCAAGGTAAAAGAATGTTCACTTCACACCTATTCAATCCTAAAATTACCACATCTCAAGAATCAAAATATCCATTCAAGAGCTAGGTAATTAAGTAACCTCAAACAAAACAAAACAAAGAAAAAAAATTTTTTTTTAATTTTTTTTTTTGCAAAACCAAACAAACAAAACAAAATGTTTATTTCTCTCCCCCACACTTAAATCATGCATTGTCCTCAATGTATGTATAGACTAGTGATAAAATAAAGTGAGATCAATAATGAATGCATAACAAAAGTGTGGTGCAGATTTTTTTTTTCAAACTAAAACACAAAACAAAGAAGTCAAATAAAGCAAATAAACTCTAATTTTCCTACTAGGTTCATCTCCCCCACACTTGAACTATACCTATCATTAAATATATCAATTAAAGGAAGGTAAAAGCTCAAGGTTAGAGAGATACAACCTTATCATGGTGGTTCAAAAACATGTTGAGAGAAGTCCTCCTCCTTTTGAAGTGATTTGGCATCTTTGTAGAGCTTGCATAGGTGACCATTGATTTGCATAGTGGAACCCGTGGCTTTATTCAAGAGTTGCAAAACCCCATAGGGAAACACCTTGGTCACTAGATATGGTCCCTCCACTTAGACTTCAACTTGGCATGCTTATGAATAAACCTTGTTTGGAACAAGAGGACTTGATCTCCTTCTTGGAACTTTTTCCTCAAGATTAGCTTGTCATGAAGGATCCTTGTTTTCTCCTTATAGATTCTAGAAGACTCATAGGCATCCAACCTAAGCTCCTCAAGTTCTTGCATTTGAAGAAATCTCTCCTTAGCCGAAAGATGGAAATCCAAGTTTAGTTTCTTGATGGCCCAATAGGCCCTATGCTCTATCTCCACAGGGAGGTGGCAAGCCTTTCCATACACCAATCGAAAAGGAGACATGCCAATAGGAGTCTTATAAGCGGTCCGATAAGCCCACAAAGCATCCTCCAAGTGTAAAGACCAATCCTTCCTATTTGTGTTCACCACCTTGGTTAGGATTTTCTTGACTTCTCTATTTGATACTTCGGCTTGGCCATTAGTTTGGGGATGATATGGTGTAGAGATTTTGTGATGCACTCCATATTTAGCCAAGAGAGCCTTCATCATCTTATTGCAAAAGTGGGATCCTTGGTCACTTACCAAGGCCTTAGGAACTCCATACCTACAAAAAATATTAGATTTGAGAAACTTCAAAACAATCTTAGCATCACAAGTTCTAGTAGGAATGGCTTCAATCCACTTTGAAACATAATCAACACCAAGTAATATGTACTCAAAACTAAAGGATGGTGGAAAGGGACCCATGAAGTCAATGCCCCAAACATCAAAAATCTCACAAAATAAAATGGGTTGTTGAGGCATTTCATGTCTCTTACCCCAACTACTAACCTTTTGACATTTCAAGCATGCTTTACAAAATTCATAAGAGTCTTTAAACAAGCTAGGCCAATACAATCCACAATCTAAAACCTTCCTAGCTGTCTTATTTGAGCTAAAATGACCACCACATGCATGAGAGTGACAAAATTCAAGAACAGAAGGCACATCAACATCATCAACACACCTCCTAATCACTTTATCACTACAAATCTTCCACATCAAAGGTGGTTCCCAAATGTAAAATCTAGACTCTCTTTTCAATTTTTCAATGGCAAAACGTGAAGCACAAGGAGGCAAGACTCTACACTCAATATAGTTAGCAAAAGAGGCATACCATGGAGGCTTAGATGAAATGGCACACAATGCCTCATCAGGAAATGAATCACAAGGAATAGTAGGGTTAGAGTTTACCATAGTAGCTTTTAAATGAGGTAGTCTAGACAAATGATCCGCTACTTGATTGGTAGAACCACTCCTATCCCTTATCTCCACATCAAATTCTTGCATTAAGATCACCCATCGAATCAAGCGAGGCTTAGAATCTGTCTTCTTAAACAAGTACCTCACAGCAGCATGGTCAGTGTACACAACAACTTTAGAGTTAAGAAGATATGATCTAAATTTATCAAGTGCAAAAACAATAGCAAACAACTCTTTCTCAGTTGTGGTGTAATTAACCTGAGCTGAATCTAGGGTCCTAGATGCATAAGCAATCACATATGATAACTTGCCCTCTCTTTGACCAAGCATAGCTCCCACAGCAAAATTAGAAGCATCACATGACAACTCAAAAGGTAAAGACCAATTTGGGGCTTTAAGAATGGGAGGGGAAATGAGCATGCTTTTCAAAGTGTCAAAACTCCTTTTGCAAGCATCATCAAAAACAAAATCAACATCTTTTTGTAAGAGTTTAGACATAGGCAAAGCAATTTCACTAAACCCCTTTATAAATCTCCTATAAAAGCCTGCATGTCCCAAAAATGATCTCAAATCTTTCAAACAAACAGGATATGGCAAAGAAGCAATCACATCTACTTTGGCCTTATCCACCTCTATGCCATTGGAAGAAATCAAATGGCCTAAAACAATTCCTTTATCTACCATGAAATGGCATTTTTCAAAGTTAAGCACAAGCTTCTTTTCAATGCACCTACCAAGCACTTTATCTAAAGAATGCAAGCATGAATCAAAGGACTCACCATACACAGTAAAATCATCCATAAAGACTTCCATGCAATGTTCAATAAAATCACAAAATATGGACATCATGCATCTTTGAAAAGTACCAGGTGCATTGCAAAGACCAAAAGGCATCCTCCTATAGGCAAATGTACCAAAGGGGCATGTAAAGGTAGTCTTATCTTGGTCACTAGGAGCTATAGGAATCTGAAAATACCCACTAAACCCATCTAGGAAGCAATAATGGGACTTGGAAGCCAATCTCTCAAGCATTTGATCAATAAAAGGCAAAGGAAAATGGTCCTTCCTAGTCACATTATTGAGCTTCCTATAGTCTATGCACACTCTCCAAGCATTTTGAACTCTAGTTGGAACAAGCTCTCCTTTCTCATTTTTTACCACAGTAATCCCCCCTTTCTTAGGTACAACTTGGGTTGGAGACACCCACTCACTGTCAGCTATAGGATAGATGATCCCAGCACTAAGTAGCTTAACAACCTCTTTCTTTACCACATCTAAAATCAATGGGTTAAGTCTCCTTTGTGGTTGCCTAATGGGCTTAGCATTGTCCTCAAGAAAAATTTTATGTGTGCACACAATAGGGTCAATACCAGGAATGTCAGCCAAAGTCCAACCAATAGCATGTATGTTCTTTCTCAACACATCAAGTAATGCATTTTCTTCCTCAAGAGATAAAGAGTTAGAAATTATTACCGGAAGCTTCTCATTCTCAATGAGATATGCATACTTGAGATTGGATGGTAAAGGCTTCAACTCCAAGGTAGGTGGCTCTACACAAGAGGGAATGAGCTTCTTCAAGTCTAATTTGGTGGAATATTCCATGGTACTATCTTGTCTTTTAGGCTTGTCACTTGTTTTTGATTTCTCCTCTTCTTTCTTTACAGCCTCCCCCTTTTCTTGCAACTTGTCCTCAAGTGCTTGGACTTGAGCCACGGCCTCGACATGTGAAAGTGTAGAATTTTCCTCCAATAGCTTGGGAATCCTAAGAACATCAAGCTCGAGTGGAGAAAAACTCATAGATTCGGCCTTAATGGCTTTAGTACCTACAACACAAGAAGATATACCCTTCTCAAGCATTTCAAGATCAAGCATAGGAGATATTTTAAACAAATCATGAGAAGAAGTAGTTGCATCATTCAAGCATGCATCAATCTCTAAACAAATAGGACAACTACATCCATCAATACATGTAGTAGTAACAAGAGACAAATCATCATCAACATGTGAGAAAGAATCAAGCATGTGAGACTCACAAGCATCATGAAGCAATAACTCAATGGAACTTACACCTAACAAAGAATAATCCTCAAAAGGATGTTTCATTGCTTCATATATATTAAAAATAACATGATCCTCTCCACATTTCAAAATCAAACTACCTTTTTCCATGTCAATCAATGTACGGGCAGTCCTCATAAATGGCCTTCCTAAAATCAAAATATCATCCCCACTCCCTTCTTTTGACATATCAAGCACATAGAAATCCACAGGAAATAATAGACCTTTAACACAAACCAACAAGTCTTCTACTACTCCATGTGGTCTTCTAACACTTCTATCCGCTAATTGGCATATCATAGGTGTCTTATGCATGCAATCAAGACTCAAGGCATGATAAATTGAAAGAGGCATAACATTAATGGCTGCACCTAAGTCTATCAATGCATGAGAAAAATGTGTGTTGCCAATCTTGCATGGAATTGTGAAGGAACCGGGGTCCTCACATTTTATAGGGAGTTGAGGCTTCATGATAGCACTCACAGATGAGGGTAATTGTACCCTTGCATTAGGCCTAAATTTTCTTTTATTTGTACAACAATCTTTCAAAAATTTGGCATACTTAGGAAAGTTCTTAACTACATCCATCAAGGGTACATTAACATGAATCTTGTGGAAGAAATCATATACCTCTTGATCAAATTGTCCCTTTACTTGCTTAGGGACCACTTGTGCTTGTGGAAAAGGAAGCTTCTTCATAATCTCTTGACTTTGCTTTCCTTCTTCCTTCCTTGAACTCTCCTTTCTTGTTTCACTTTGCTCGGCCTCTCCCTCTTTTTCCTTACTAAACAACTCGGCCATAGTCCCCTTTTCCACCTTAGATGGTGGTTGCTCACATATGATCTCCTCAATGTTTTCATCCTCATCATCTCTACAAAAAGATGCATCATTAGGAGCAAAAGAAGAACTAGAAACATTAACATCAATTGAAGAATTTAAAGAGGGCTTCTCGGCCTTCCCTTGTCTTTTGTCTTCTTGTACTCTTTCTCCCAACTCCTTGCCACTCCTCAATGTGATAGCATTAAGATTAGCTTTAGGATTAGCAACGGTGTTGGATGGTAATGTAGAGGCTTGAGCATTGGCTGCACTTAATTGGTTAGCAAGCATATTCATTTGAGAAGTAAGGGCATCAATTTTAGAGTTCATGTTCTCACACTTGTTACCCATACTCTCTACCTTGTTCCCTAAGCCATCATACATGTTTTTATACAAAGAGTTCATTTCAATCAACTGCTTACGTAACACATTCACATCATTAGAAGAGTTCGAATTAGAAGAACTCTCAATTGGAACAAGCCTCCTATCACTATAAGAATTAGAAGAAGGTGTAAGAGAATTACCACTTGGATTGTAGCTTTGAGAAGAGCTACCTTGAGACAAATGAGGTGGAGGGTCACGGCCAAAGGTGTTTTGATAGGATCCTCTTTGTTGATTGTCTTGTAAAGCCACATTTGGATTTGAATAGGAGAAATTAGGATGGTCTCTCCATGAAGGGTTGTAAGTATTAGAATAAGCTCCTTGCCCTTGCCTCCCACCATAGGATTGTTTTCCATTGTAGATAGCATTTACTTGTTCAAACTTAATAGGACAATTGCTTTCTACATGCATAGGTGAGTCACAAAAAGTACAAGAATAAGGGACAAGTGCTTGAGAAGTACTTACATTGCTCACTTGAGATATTTGTGGAGCCAACATTCTCCCAATCTTGGCAGCTAGCAAGTCCACATATGAATCATTAAGAACTGAGGAACCTACCATATTCACATTTCTCTTTTCCCTTGTAGAGTATTGAGCACCACTTGAAGCCATCTTGTCAATTAGTTCCCAAGCCTTTAAGGAAGTGAGGTCAATCAAGCATCCACCACTAGCGGCATCAATGTTAACTTTGTCTCTTGGAATCAAGCCCTCATAGAAATATTGGACTAAATTCTCACTAGAAATTTGATGGTGTGGGCATTTAGCCAAAAGGCCTTGGAATCTAGTCCAATACTCATAGAGACTCTCATCCTCTCCTTGTTGGACCCCATAGATTTGCTTTCTCAAATTGGTGACCTTGGAATTTGGAAAGAATTTATCTAAGAAGAGTCTTCTTAGCTCGGCCCATGTGCTCACTTTCACATAAGAAGGGTAGTTGAAATACCACTCCTTTGCTAAACCTTCAAGAGAAAATACAAAAGCCTTAGCTTGAACATCATCAACATTTACATGCATAGGCTTCATAGTATCACAAACCAATAGGAAAGTATGCAAAAACCTATGACAATCCTCTCCTGGTAACCCATGAAATTTAGGCAATGCATTAATCAAGGAGGATTTAATTTCAAATTGAACATTAGTAGGAGGAACATATAAGCCATAAGGATTATCATGCCAATTAGGTTGAGTTAATTGCCTAATGCTCCTCTCCTCTCTAGGGTTATGCAAGCCTTCAAATTCATTATTAACATGGCCATCATCATGCAAATTCTCATTCCCATTCCCATGGCCCTCATTATGCACATGCTCATGTCCTAAGATACCTTCCATTGTTGAATTACAAACCAAATGAGAATCAAGAATAGGTTGTGATCTTCTCAATCTAGAAATAGTCCTTTCAATTTCTGGATCTAATTCAACAAAAGAGGTATGTTTTCTTCGGGTCATGCACTAATCAAGCTCAAGAAAATTAAGAACAAAGAACAAGCTAAACTAAAATGCAAATCAACATGAAACAATTCAAAACACACAAAAGCAAGAGAAATAATTTTTTTTTTTTTTTATTAAACTCAATAGCAACAAAATGAAAAAAAAATAACACCAAACAAGTAGAAAGAGAGTTAGAAATGCTCAATCAAGAAGCTTTGGCAATTCTGGAATTCGCACAGTAGGCTCTCTGGAGACAGTGAACTTGTGAATTTTCTATCAGCAAATCCACATGATAAATTCCCCTGAAACTTTTATGAGAAACACAAGAGATATACAGGAAAATTATATAAAACTTTTAGATTAAAAATCCTGCCCAATCGTTCCCAGAATTTTTCACAAGTTGGTCCTCAAGTCTGGAGAAACAGGATTTCGTCCAGAAGACCTTCAGAGCTTCTAACAAACTTTCAAATAGGAAAATGGAAAAATTGAAGAAAATCCTAAACACAAGAAACAAAGATAAGACAGCGATAAGAAAAATGAAACTGGAATCAATCAATTTGAACGCACAAAGAGGAAGATATGCTAACTCAAAATTGAAACAGGGTTTTGGAAATCCTCTGTAATGGCTCCCTGGACCTTGTTAGATTGTAAAATTTCCACAGGACACTTCCCACGTCCAAAATTGACCAAACCAATTTTAAAGTGAAGCTAGGATATAGAGCTTTCAATGAAATAAATTTCAAGTTCAAATTCCCTCAGACTCATTCCCAGTTAATTTTTCAATTTCAGACAGAGACACTAGAAACAGAGTATTTTCAGCTCTACACCAAACCAACGAAAATTGCATTAATTTTTTTTTCTTTTTCAAAACAGAATAAAAACACTCAAAACACACAAAAAACACTAAAAAGACACAAAAAACAAATTTTTATAATTTTTCAAAAGATTTTTCAGGAACACTAAAAATGTAAATTAAGTACTAAACAACCTTAGAATTAAACTTAAACCATTCCCCGGCAACGGCGCCAAAATTTTGATAGGAAATTAGTCGCTTATCCTCAAAATTACACTAAAGCTAACCCTAATGCAATATAGGGCCAACCCTAGGTCATCTCCCAAGGAATGGTTTTAAGTCTAATTGAAAGTTATCTAGTGAAATAAATCAACCAAAGTTTGTAGGAATTTAGTTATCTAGCTAATTATCTAAACTAATTACCTAATATGCAAGTAATTAAAATGCTAGTGAAAGTGAGTGAAATGAACTTCCCTTTTTACAATAATGGAACCCTAGAGATTAGTTGATTTTGGACTCATTATCTTCTCATGATTAGGCTAAGTTTAGCTTCCCTTTCCTCTTGACTAAAGCTGTCATGACTTAAGAAAATTATCCTAAGCCAATTAACCTAATTAGCTAACCTCCCTAGGTCTTAGATTAAAGTCCCTAGTTCAATTAACCAATTGGTGAAGACATTAGCCAAGTGATTCACTCAAAATCCTCTCTCAACAGCCATGGTCAAACACATAAATTGAGCAACCACAAGATTATGTCAAGCTACTCAACAACACAAGCATTAACACCACAAGATTATGCAATATTAACACAAGAAATTCACTAATTGAAAAACACAAGATTATGTGCCAAACAAAGAGTGGCAAAATTCAGTCATGGCTGTCCAAGGAAGAAATTAAATGAAACAATCCTCTCTCTTTACATCAACATCAAATTCAAATTAGAATTTATAAGCTAAGATGATTAACCCTAGATTAAGGAATCTAACCATCTAGTAAAAAGAGAAGAGGATAGGAAACAAAAGAACTTAGCCAATTTGAAGCTCAAGACTCATCCTCCATCTTCATCTCTCTAGGATTCCACAAAGAAACTTAGCCAATCTTCATCTTCAAGAACCCTAGTGATTGCTTGTGAAGGCCAAACTCCATAGCTCTTGAATGATGGAAATGAGCTTCAATCCTTGTGAAAATGGAAGGGATGGAACGAAAATGAAGAGAGGAGAAGAATGGTATGAGTTTTGTGGAGGTTTGGTGGCTGAAAATGGAGGTTAGGGTGCTGGAAAATGAAGAACAAAAGAGAGAAAATGAAGAACACTATGAACAAGAGAGAGAGAATGTGGAAGATGAATGAGATATGTGTTGGATCCCATTTGAGACTTAAAATGGCGTGCTCCTTGGTGTCTCCCATCAGCTGAAGCTTAATTAAAATAAGGAAAAAGAAATTAAAATGTAAATGGGAGCCTTGTCACACTTGCAAGGTGGCAACTTCCTATTGGTTTGTAGATGATTCCAATGT